GCCTGGGTTTTGTGTTTGGTCCCAAGTTGGGGCACATACGGGAAGCAACCAGTCAGTGTTTCTCTCTCCCATCGATGTTTCCCTCCCTGTCTTGCTCCCTCCCTTCCCATCTCTCTAAAACTAAATTAAATCTTTTAAAAAATAAATAAATAATAGCATAAGAAGAACCATACTATTTGAGAGAACAGCTCATTTTTCTCTTTGATTTATTGCATTAACTCAGCAATGCAGTGATCATTCATCAATGGAATAACAAAGGTGAAAAATACAAAGGTGGCATTATGTGTCAAAGGGAAGTAAACTGACATGCTTCCTTCGTTTGCCAGTCCATTTGTTAATAAGTAGTTGCCAGTATCCTGCACACATAGCTTTCTTTTGTTAGCTTTATTTCAGAAAACCAGTGATAAATATGGCAGCTTTCATAGAATTCCATATATCCAAATGCTGGGAGAAGAAATTGAATGGATCTGAAAGATAATTCCTTATGACTTTCATTAGTGTTACATTTAAACAAATAATAACATTCACTTATACAGTATTAAAGTAAGCGATAAGATACCTATTGTGAATTTAATATATGAAATATAGAAACAGAATTAAGTGTTTTTAAATAGATTTATCATAAGCAATGATGAAAGCTGCTTGAGCCTTTAGATTTTGGTAGATAATTAATTTGTTAAAGTGATGTAAGGCATAATCCATACCACTTGTCTTTGCATATATTTTATATATTTGTAGACAAATAATGCATACTAATAAAGGAGTTGGCAAACTGTGCCTTTTTTTAATCATATGTGAACTCAGAATGGTCTTTTTAAGAATTGTATAAAAAGGAAAAAGAATATGCAGCAGAAATCATATGTGGCCCTCAAAGCCTAGAATATTTACCGTCTGATCCTTCACAGAAAAGCTTGCCAGCCCTGAAATGTAAAGACCTGCCACGTAAGCCTGGCAAGTCTCGGCTCCAGGTGGGAGGCTGTAAGCACGTGACAGCCTGTGTTTCCCATGACTGCAGCTACTATAAAACCTGGACAGAATGCATGGAGCAAGCTATTTGAAGATTCTGAAAAATTAAACAGTGGCAGGCAAATTAAGGAAGACCAAAATTTGAAGTACTACAAACTAGCGGTGAGTTTGCCGTTTTTCCCCTTGTGTGGTCACATGGTCTGGTCTCAACCATAGCCTGAAACCAGGAAGTAGACACCAGTACCGGCAGAGGGAGTTCCAGAAGCCTACTACTGCTTCAGGCTTGAAAAATAGAGATCATGGCTCCTAGTAGGAGTGGCGGGTGCAGGGGAGGGCGCAGGCATCTAAAATGTTGAGGGAGGGGAGCCTTCCTTTCTGACTGGAGGATCTGTGGCCCCAAGAGGTTGGGCACAGTGCCTTTGCTTTTTTTCTCTTTCTCTGCCTGTCAGTTGGCCCCCACTGCAGTAACAGTTGCAGAAAGTAAGTGGCAAAATGGGGTAAATAAAGTCCCTACTATCTGGGCAGAGTGCCAAAAGGGAGAGCCCCAGGGAACCAGGAAGTACTGAAGGGATTAAGGAGGAGGGGCAACTTCTGAAAGGGGCTTAAAAAATTATTTACGTTTTGAGAGACATAAATGATAATATCTCTGTAATGCTGAGAATAGAGCCTGACTAAGAGTAAGACCCAATAAACAGCTGCTTAATCAATCATTATTTTTCATAATATTTCTATAGGAAACACACAGATTATCTTCCTCTTCTTGGTTTAGACTGTTAGGAGTCATGGGGATTAAAAGTATTGGCCCATCTGCAGCGACCATATGCCAGGCCGCCTCTATACAGCCTTAGAACACGGCACTTGGAAGGGATTTTGGGGGTCAGATGTTCTAACATGTGCTTATTCAAGGTAGCAGCCCTTGCAGTTTCCATTTACAGATGATAAGTCACCTAGAGCCTGTCAGTACAGTTACAGTGACAGAAGCTGGCCACTTTAGGAGGGCCATGTGATTGTTTAACAATCATGTATATACACAGTTTGCAATTTTTTTAGTTCTGCCCTTTGTAAAATGTAAAAAAAAATAAGTTGAATCTTTTTTCACACTGTATTCCTTAATAATCCACAATATTTGAACAGACTTAATTTTATACTGGCGATTCTCAGAGTGAGGCCTAGGGATCTCATTTAACTGACACACCTGTCTCAGGACCCTTCTCTCTTCCTCCTCCTTTTAATCCGTGAAGATATATGCTAAATTTTTGGTGTGCCTGTGTGCATGAGGTTTGATAACCTTGAAAGCATTTAAGAATCACTGCTTTGCCCTGCTGGTGTGGTTCATTTGGTTGGAGCGTCATCCTGTACCCCAAAAGGTTGCAGGTTCAAACCAGGTTGGGACACATAGGGAAGGCAACTAGTTGATGCTTCTCTCTCATATTATGTTTCGCTCTCCAAAATCAGTAAAAATATTTTTTTAAAAGGATCACTGCCTTAGACATGCTCATGACTACAATTTGCCCTCCATACACCTGCATTTCAAAAAGACAAAAAATGATTAAGAACTGCTGTTTTTTCTCATAATGGTAGAAAGTGATTGAAGACAAAGGTTAGCTATTTCATAGAAAGAGGAAAATCTGAGAGTTAAAGCAAAGAGGTGCGGTTCACCTATATCCACTGAGCCAGCACCTCGGTAAGTCTTCCATCTAGTCTGTTTAGGGTATTACTTTTTTTACATTTAAGGTATGTTAAGCAGAAGGTAGGATTTAGTGAAGCAGTCTTTTCTTGAAGTGTCTGTGATGCAGAACAAGGATGCAAAACGTCTATAATGCAAAACCTCTATTATGCAATAATTATTTTGTCCAGCAGTAGATAACCATTTTAGCCAAAGATAGATAGTACTGTGACTATTATATATTCAAGAACATACATTATGTACACATACAGTATGCTTAACGTAGTTCAGTTGCCCTTCATGGTCAACCCATTCTTTTTGTGTGTTTTGTTTTAACCAGCTGTACCAAGTGTCATAATTTGCTATTGAGAATCAAACAGTTATTGTCTCCTCAAAATGGCCATCCCTGACTGCCTTGTCAAGACCACAAAATGTTACTGCATGGGAAAGTACAGTTTTGGAAATGCAGAGTAGAGAAAATCATAAATGTTGCTTTCATGAGTTATCTCTAGATTGTTATCAGCCCAAATAAATTTTTCATTCACACAAATATATTGTTTTTGTACATAGGTATCCTGTCATCAGTAGTCAATTAAATAAACACAGTTATGGCCATAAAAATACATATAACTTTTTCATAATTTTGTACAATAGTAAAAGAAAAAGTAAAATGAAGTATTATGGCTACAAATATATTTTTAAATTCAGTAGACACCAGTAAAGATAGAGGTGAATTTGGATAAAAGTGTAAACTATTTTCAAACTTAATGAAATCAGCCCTGGCTGGTGTGGCTCAGTGGATTGAGTGCTGGCCTGCAACCCTAAAGGTCGCTGGTTCGATTTCCAGTCAGGGCACATGCCTGGGTTGCGATGCGGCCCAGATTCCCCAGGTGGGGGCGCATAAGAGGAAACCAGTCTCATCTCTTGCACATTGCTGTTTCTCTCCCTCCCTTTCTCCCTCCCTCCCTCCCCCTCTCTCTAAAAAGTAAATAAATAAAATTCTTAAAAAAGAAAAACTTAGTGAAGTCATCCTACTAATGAAAGTTGCAGGGAAAGTCATTGTTTTCCTTTTGTGAAGCCATGTTGTTATTAGCTCACTGTAGGAACGACAGTGTAAGTCAGCAGAAATTGTACAGCAGTTACAAAATACTGGGAAGTTTAATATATATAGTATAACAAACTATTTAAAAAGTTTAGTCGGGCATCTTGCTCTTCTTTGTATCTATTGCTATCGCAAATTAAGGTAGGTTTAGATCTTTAGCAAAGGGTAAAGGAACTTACTAGATCTATGGTGGTTAATTCAGTTGATATGGAAAGAAGGGCAATTTGAGATAAAGTGTAGAGTTAAGAGGGGATTGAAAGGAGACAGGGACATGTGTTGTACCCTTGGTGTTTTTGTTTTTTAACTGAGCAAATGTAAGGTGCCTTGTCCACAAGCCTACTGCTTGCTTCAATGCAAATGGAAGTCTGTAAGGTCTGTACTTAGAAAGGTGAACTGACCATTGCTTGGTATTCCCCCCCCCCCGAGAATTCCACTTCTAGATTAAAGTGAAAGTTCATCCAATAATATCCACACCTTCTCATTTAGGGTGTGATACTGCATCATGCTCAAGAGAGTGTTGGGTAAATGTGGTCTGATGAGGACAAGGATGTTTTTTTCAGGAGGAATTATCTTAATGGTTATGTGGCATGTTTCTCAGGGTCATTGGAAAATAGTGATCTTGTTTGAACTTGAACTTTTACTGTGTGGTATTTGCTGATTATGCAACTATAAGTTTTATATGGACATTTAAAAAATGATTCATTTGGTAATGTGCAAAACCCTGTAAATATTAAAATGTAATGCAACTGGTTTTAACTGATATTTAAGAATAATATGAATTAAATTTGAATGATGAACACAAGGACTTTGCAAAGGTGTGAGTTTCCCAGGGTTTAGGAGTTTTATGAATAGGTCTTTTTCCCTGTATATATTTACTTACTGTATTTTTTTTGCTAAATAGCAGGATAATTATTTTTCATCATTAGAGTGTTAGCATAGCATCCTGAAATATCTCCATATGAGATATGTGTTGTCTGAGTGTGTCTAGTCAAGTAGTTTTATTTCGAACTTGTGATAGCATTAATTGCTAAACATGTTCTTAGTTTTCCTTAAAAGTAAATCAACAACTCCAAGAGAAAATAACACTAATTCCTTGAGGATTAGGGATAAGGTGTGTAGTATATTTTGCTCTGGGATATGTTATGGGAAAACTACTTGGAAATCAAGACTTCTCATATAAATACTATACAGTTACCAAAATTTGTATTTTTTTCTCATTTTCACATCATTAATGTTGTATATTTATATATCCTTTTTTTTTTTTAGCTGAATATGTCAAGTGACGAGATAGCTGCCAATCTGCAGGCTGTTATCAGTGAAGTTTGTAGGCACAGACCACTGGATTTGGGTAAGTGGTCAGTTGGAGTTGACTTCCCTAGAGCCCTGTGATGCTTTAAAAATGTAAAATATTAAACAATCAAGTTGATATGCAATTACAATAGCAATGATATTTCCAGGGATTAAATAAAATAGAATTTTCCAGAGGATTTCTGATTGCCTTATTAGCAAGTGTAGTTGCCTAGAGAGGACACCTTTAACAGTGATGGGAACGCTCTACATCCTGAAACCTTCATAAATCCCCACAGGATTTCTACCATTAATGTATGAAGTTCGCATGAAAACTGATTGCCTTCAAATTAAAATGACATTAAACAGAAACAAAAATTATTTATGAGGTGGCGCTGTGAAGCCACACCTTCCATGTGGTCGCTGGGCACACGTCCAGCGCCCTCATCGATACGTTCCATGCCACTCACGTTCCGTCCTGAGGCAGGTCTCACTCAGCTGCCTGCGGCCAAGCAAGTGTCCGTTACACTCAGGACTGTCTGCTTGGAATTTTATCATTGTAGGCATCTGTGCCTTTGGGTTTTATACACAAATGTCTGATTAAAATACAGTCTTCCACGAATTTTCACCTTCTCTGAGAATTAAACACACTGGTATAAGTGCCTCATTTGTTAACTTGGTTGTCCTGTATTTGTCCACAGTACTTAATAATGGTATGCGTATTTATATGGATTCTTACATTCTATGGAGAACTTTGATTTCAGTGTAGGCTCCTCTCAGACTAGCTGGAGTAGAATAATAGATAGTAAATCTCTAAAAACAATATAGTTATCTGGTTTTTGCCATTTTAAACAAAGTCCCTTAATGTTCCTCATAGGAAAAGCTTTTTAAATTTTTAAGGGATCTTATTAAATGTTTGGTAACACAAAGGTAGCATCTGTGTTGACTGTTTTAGGTAAATATTAGAATATTTCCATCGAGTGTAAATATTGCCACCTGCTCCTTCACTGTTGACTTTGCAATAAAATAAATTTGAAGTGATTGTATTCTGGTAGAGAGAAGTGAATTATTTGTGAGTACATGTAGTTTAAAGGATAAATTTATGAAATTCTAGAGTGTAGCTGGTTTGTCTTTTCTAGAAGTGAAATCTTTCCTTTCCTGTACTTCAAAACGTTAGTTTAGTAATGTCAATACTTACAACATAAAACATGAGTTCTATAAGAGTTCTAGTTGTATGTTTGTATTTGCTCGTAGGTATATATGGAATCAAATGAAAGTTGATTTTTGTCTTTGTTTCTAGGACCCTTTGTGATCCGAGCTTTCCTTCGTAGTTCAACAAGTGAAGGTTTATTACTAAAGATCGAGCCATTGTTGCCTAAAGAGGTAGAAACCAAAGAAAATAACAAAGAAGCTGCCTGAAACTGTTGTATTGTGAAGTTTTTTTTAAGTGGATTAAGGAGAAACAAAATTATAAAACTGTAATTTCTACATTTGGTGTCTTGTTATTTCTTGATCATCATACTTAAAAGTGTATTTTCACACTGGAAAATCTGACAACACTTTCAACAATAAGAAAATAAGATACTGTCTATGTTTGAAACTACCTTTTAGATCCTATTAAATCTCCTTTCTTAGAATTCATATTTTACATGCTGAAATTATAGCAGCAATTTCTAGCTTAATAACCTTCCCTCGAGAACTACACCATCTGAGGGAAAAATAACATCCTCGATTCCCCTAGGAGGGAGACTGGCAGAGTCATGAGCTAGATCATAAATGTGACTGTTTTCTAAAGAAAAAATATGGAAAATGTTGGAAAATGTTCATTCTAAAAAATTCTGAATGTTACTTTGATAATATGGATATAGAAATGACTAAACAATTAAAATGCGAGTGGGAAATTATTTTTCTGCATTTTACATATTCATTTATAATGTATTTTTATAATAACAATGTGTATTTTTGTGGTGTTTTGCAATATACAAAGCACCATGTAGTGTTTTCACATACTTAACCTTGTTGGATCCTGAATTCTACTTAATAGGAAATAATAAGTTTGGTTAGTGTTCGTTGAATGATAGAACAACTTCCCTTACAGATCAAGAATCAGACCAAGAAGTTAAATGTCTTTAATCAAGTGCCAGGTTGCAACTGGTATTGGTTTTTTTTCTCTTTTTTATTGATTATGCCATTACAGTTGTTCTGTTTTCCCCCTTCATTCCCCTCCACCCTGCATACCCCTCCCACCCACATTCCCCCCCTTTAGTTCATGTCCACGTGTCTCAAGTTCTTTAGATTCTATATTTCCCATACTATTCTTGCCCTCTCCCCTATTTTCTACCTACCGTCTATGCTACTTATTTTCTGTACCTTCTCCCCCCTTCTCCTCCTCCCACTCCCCTGTTGCTAACCTTCCATGTGATCTTCATTTCTATAGTTCTGCTCCTGATCTAGCTGTCCTCTTAGTTTGCTTTTGTTTTAGGTGTGGTGGTTAATAACTGAGTTTGCTGTCCTTTCACTGTTCATATTTTTTATCTTCTTTTTCTTAGATAAGTCTCTTTAACATTTCATATAATAAGGGCTTGGTGATGATGAACTCCTTGAATTTGATGTTATCTGAGAAGCACTTTATCTGCCTTTCCATTCTAAATGAAAGCTTTGCTGGATAGATCAATCTTGGATGTAGGTCTTTGGATTTCATGACTTGGAATACTTCTTTCCAACCCCTTCTTGCCTTTAAAGTCTCTTTTGAGAAATCAGCTGAGAGTCTGATGGGAACTCCTTTGTAGGTGACTGTCCCCTTATCTCTTGCTGCTTCTAGGATTCCCGCCTTCATTTTAATCTTGGCTAATGTAATGATGATGCGCCTTAGTGTGTTCCTTCTTGGGTCCAACTTCTTTGGGACTCTCTGAGCTTCCTAGATTCCCTGGAAGTCTATTGCCTTTGCCATATTGGGGAAATTCTCCTTTATTATTTGTTCAAATAAGTTTTCCAATCGTGGCTGGTCCTCTTCCCCTTCTGGCACCCCTATAATTCGGATGTTGGAATGTTTAAAGATGTCCTGGAGGTTCCTTAGCCTCTTCTCATTTTTTTGAATTCTTGTTTCTTCATCCTTTTCTGTTTGGTCATTTTTTCCCTCTCTCTGGTCCACTCCTTTGATTTGAGTCCCAGTTTCCTTTCCATTACTGTTGGTTTCCTGTGCATTTCCCATCATTTCAATTAGTTTAGCTTTCATTTTTTCATCTAATTTGTGACTAAAATCAACCAGTTCTGTGAGGATCCTTATAATCAGTGTTTTGAACTGTGCATCTGAAAGTTTGGCTATTTCTTCGTCACTTAGATTTATTGGCTCTGGGGCTCTGAGTTGTTCTTGAGCCATGTTTCGGTCTGTTTGTGCCTGTTAGGTATGAGGAGCGGAGCCCTAGGTGTTCACCAGGGCGGGGCCACTCAGCCCGCTGGGTTATGATGCTGTATGTGGGGGCAGGGTCTGAGAGGGGCAATAGTGGTCCCCTCTGCTGCTTCCTGCTGCTGGGGCCTGTGCAGTCTGTCTCACTGCTAGCTCCTTCGCTGGTTTATCTGCATGCAAATGTGTGACCGCGGTCAGCCTGCCACCTTGTGCCCTTACTGGGTTTGCCTGTCACAACCCAACGCCTGGGATCTGCCAACCACCACCTGAGCACCTGGGTCAGTCTGGTCGAGTTTTCCTGCGCAACCCCAGTCCGCCAGTCCCTGGCTCCGCCCCTCTTACCAGTCTGGATGGACAGTTCGTTGTTGTCAGACTTCAGTATAGTTCAATTTTCTGTGTTTTGGCTGCATTTTTTGTTACTAAAACTTTGTTGTCTTTAAACTTGGTTGTGTGAGAAGGTACAATGTTTCCACCTATGCCTCCATTTTGGCGGAAGTCCTGGTATTGGTTCTTAAGTGTTTACTGGTATGTGACAACACAAGATGGAAACAGAGGTTAGACAGTTTGGGCACGCAGTTGCCAGCTGTCCTTGGGAATGATTTCCCTTACTCTGCGATTATCTTTCACTCTTTTAGGGAGGTCCGCATGCCTTTTATGAAATAATAGTGCCGACAGATTTGTTGGTAGGTTCTGATACTTTTCAGTTAATAAAGAATATTTTGACAGCTCCATGCAGGTCTCCCAAATTGTTTTTGAAATTTTAGTAGTCTGAGAAGGGCAAGTGACCGTGAGCAACCACTATACCCCACTAGGTTTTTTCCCCCAGGGAATTTAAAATTTAAAGGCTGTTTACCAAAAACAACTAAACTATGTTGACTACAAAACCATAATCACAGTTACCACCTATTGAGGGTCTACTGCTGTCCTATGCTTTACATGGGTCCTCTCACGGAACACGGAACCATCAGAGCAGCTCTGTGAGGAGGGCGTTGCTCCTGTTTCACAGGTAAGGGAATCGAAACCTGTACGAGGTCCCATAAGTGGCAACCTAAGATTCAAAGCTAGAACTGTCTGATTTTGAAGCCTGTTCTTTAAACTATTAGGCTATTTTACTTCCTGTTAGTGTATTCTAAGATAAATTAAACTGTTAACTGAACACTTAACATTTAAAAATATTGAATAATTATACTTTAGTTTCTTAGTGTCTCTGGATATAGGGCTTTGACATAACTGATGGGAAGGAAGAAAAGAGCGGGAGGAGTGAGAACAGAGTAGTGCAGGATGGAGAGAAAGACGATCTGCCCACTTCCCACGATTCCCGTCTAGAAAGCTTACTCATTACTATTTGGAACTTCTAATTCACAGAGTAGAATCTCTATTATATTTGTAGATTTTCTTTAATAGAATAAATAAGCACACTCTTGTTATTGATGATTTTAGGAACACTTGTATTTTATTATTTTTAATTTTTATTTTTAGAGAGAGAGGAAGAGAGGAAGAAAGAGAGGGAGGAAAACCATTAATGTGTGGTCGCCTCCTACACGAACCCCTTTTGGGACCCGATCCATAACCCAGGCATGCGCCCTGACCGGAAATCAAACCGTCCACCCTTCAGTTCAGAAACCAGCACAGTCCACTGAGCCACACCAGCTAAGGCAGAAACGCTAACAAATAGTCTTCAAATCCCTCATAATCCTACTACCCTAGATAACCAGCATTAATATTTTGTCTTTCCATTGTCTTTTTCAATGGACAGAAACAACACACACACACACATTGTAAAGTAAGCATTTACCTCTACTGTTTAAAATTTCATATGAAAAGCATCATTTTTAATGGCTGAACAATATTTCATCCTGTTAATTCTTTAAGTTATAGAATCATTTCCCAATTTGGAGGCATTTAATTCTTTTTGGTACCCTCTATTATTTTAATGCTTTAGAGAAAATCTTTGGGCATAATTCATTTTGCTCTCTATTTCTAGACGTGACATTCCTGGGTTAAAAGGCGTGATAATGGCTAAAGGTCTTATGTGTTTTAGAAAGGTGCCTTTTGATCAGAGCAAACCAGAACAAGGAAATATGGTTGGAAAGCTTGCTCTGGGCAAGAACATTCCAGGGTCTAATTAACTGGCCTATGAATAAATAATTCCTAACCCTTCCACCAGAGCATTCTTCCTACTGGCTAACTAGAATCAATGTTAAGTGTTTATAATGATATGCTAGATTACTCTTTCTCTTTTGTATTACTGCATCATTAGATTTTAGTAGCGATCAGTAAATCTTAAGAGTAAAAACTTTCGAATTTTATAGTAGATACTAGTAATTCTGAAACTAGCTTGCATCCAAATCACTTGGAAGGTTTGCAAGCACAAATTTCTGGGTTCCACTCAGCAATCTGGGGTGAACCTAGGAAATTTGCATTTCTAACGAGTTAAAGACCAAAGGCTTGGGGTAGGACAGGAGAACCTTTTCAATAGTGACTTTTTTTTTTAATATAGAAAGTAGTTAATCACAGTGTCCAGTAGGTGGCAATAATAACCTTTCCCACAATTTTTAAATAGCTAACTTTTGGTAAATTATTGCTTTTTTATTTGATTATAAAATAAAATAACAAATGTAGACCACTGGCGCTTTGTTTTGGAATGAATCTATTTTGCCATTTATTCTATTGCAGGCACTTTCCAGAACTTGCTTTATTAGGTGTCACTGCAGTAATACCTATGAAGGATTGTTTCATCCGTCTCTGTTTTAACTCTTAAAGAATCTTTCAAATACACAGAAAATTTTAAAAATAACACCTATTTAGTCAACACCCAGCTTTAGCAGTTATCAATATTGTGCTATTTTTCTAGTTACATCTATCCCTTTCATCTACCCACCAGCCCCCCCCCCGCCCCCCCCCACATATACTCATCCCTGGTAGAGTAATTAAAAGGAAATCCCTTATATCCTATCACTTAACCTATAGAGTTTTAAGAAGAATCAAGCTATAATTATAAGATTTTAGATCCATTTTTTTTATTTTTTATTTTTGGAAACTGTTTTTTTTTAATTGATTATGCCATTACATTTGCTCTATTCCCCCTCCCTTCCCCTCCACCCTGCATACCCCTCCCCCACCATTTCCCCCTTTAGTTCATGAACATGTGTCTCAAATTCTTTAGATTCTGTATTTCCCCTACTAATCTTACCCTCCCCCCTATCTATTTTCTATCTACTGTCTATACTACTTATTTTCTGTACCTTCTCCCCCCTTCCCCTCCTCCCACTCCCCTGTTGCTAACCCTCCATGAGATCTTCATTTCTATGGTTCTACTCCTGATCTAGCTATCCTCTTAGTTTGCTTTTGTTTTAGGTGTGGTTCTTAATAACTGTGAGTTTGCTGTCCTTTCACTGTTCATCTTTTTTTATCTTCTTTTTCTTAGGTAAGTCCCTTTAACATTTCATATAGTAAGGGCTTGGTGATGATGAACTCCTTGAATTTGGTCTTATCTGA